TGTTAAATGCTTTACAAGTTACAAGAAAAATGTGTTCAGTAAAAAGTTTTGTCACAAGTTATGCAACAGGGCTCAGAAGCTATCATTAAAACAACTTTTATCACATTGTAAACCAAGCTTTAGATATTTCAGTTTTTAATATTCTAAATTTGAATTACTTACAGAATTTTAAAAATTTTCTGATTACAATTTGTCAATATTACTGGCAATAAATTATCATTGGTAAATTGAAGTCTATGAATTAAGTAAATTTCAAAAAAAATTTTTAAATATTTTAATAGAATATCTTTAAAAAACACTTCCAAATTTTTAGAAAATTTTGTAGATTTCATTTTACATATTAATTTTTTCAAAACCTTTGAACTATTCTTAATTTTTATTTTCTTGCAAGTAAACTGGATTTAGTCAATATCACTATCCAAAAACCTTAAAAGTAACTGCTAGGTCCAAAATAAAATGAACATTTTCAACTGCTTTGTCAGCCACTTTCAGGTTCAACTAGTGATCATCAATTAAATGTAAACAAGGAAAACAACCACATTCATTTCAATATGCTGCTGTATCAAAAATGTTTTTGATATTACAGTATTTGGATTTATTTTGTATAGCATTGTATTCATTGTGTATGTTTAGATGTTTAAGAAAACAAGGAAGCTACTTTAAATTTATTTTTAATTTATGCAATTCCTAATGCCTATCTGAATTTTGATCTTAATTAAATAGTTAAAGTTTATAGTTGTTGTAAAGTAGTGACCTTTTAGCAGAGTGGGAACAAAAGAGGCGTGACCTTGTCAATTGGACCCACGTGCGGTCGGGTAATACCACTTGTAAGGTATTGACTTGTAAACAAGGGTAAACAAAGGAAGCGCCGGCTTTGTTAATTGGACCCACCTGCAGTCAGACAATAGTACATTTACCATATTGTAAACAAACGAACGTAAACAAGTGGCGGACGTTTGTGTAAGCTTCACTCTCGTCGGATGACGGCGGACCTGAGTGTAAGCTGTTCGAGCAGAAAAAAGGGTCGTGATTGGTCGGAAGTTCCCGTTCCAAAATCCCTTAAATTGCGGGGCGAACGGGAGTCAAAGAAAGAAGGGCAAGAGACTGATACACGGTTGTCTCAGGCAGTTGGGAAGCCCGCTGAGCGTAAAGAGAGTGTTCTCCTCTGTTGATCTTCTCAGAGACGGGTTAGTGCTGAGATCGGACCGACCGTGCAGTTGAGCCGACTCCACAATCTGACTGAGGTCTCTCCAAAGGTTATTAGTTCCCAGACGCCAATCTGGCATGTGAATTCACTACGCATGATTATCCTGTACATACACTATGTTTTCCAACTTGTACTTTCTACAACTGTAAATAAACTGTACATATATTCAATTTGAGTGTGGAGGTGTGCTTTCAAACGAACCTGACTCATTACATCGAGTCATGATACACAAGAAACCAACTCAGAAGGAGTTGGGAAGGAACGGCAATAAGATCTTCACTGTTGTATTATAGATTAGTTTCACATTTGTAAATTAAACTATGAAAGATGTTCCATTTCAATAACTTCAATAGACAGCTATAAATTACAGCTAACTCCAATTTTTATAGTAGTACAATGGAATTTGCTAGAAACTTAATACAGTGGAACCTCGCATAACAAACAAAACAAATTGTAAAAAGATGCCTTGCTTAATAAGCAATGTTTCACATAACGAGTGACTAGGAGAGAGGAAGTCCAGGATTGTGCACATGCTCCACCAGTCTGTGATTAGCACTTTTTCTGCTAGCATCTTAGTGTTGCTTGTGATCAAACATTTTTCCAAACTTGTGTTCACACGTATTATGTATAAACATCAACAACTATTGCCCGTTATATAATAAACACACCAAACAATATGCCAAATTCTTGGGGCTTTATTATATATCGTTTGGCATATTTAATTAATTTGACTAGAGGTAGGTAGTTAGTTATGTTGCTATCTCATTAAATTTAATACAAGATGGCAACATAACTGCCTACCTCTAGTCAAATTAATTAATTTATAATATTTAATTATAGCCTTTACATAGCCCAAGAATTTGGCACATCATTTGGCGTGTTTATCAAACATTATCTGTGATTTGTTTTCTCTGCAAATCCGATTTGCATTCCAGGTTGGTTCATTCCATGCTAGAAGAAATGATGATGATTCATGCTCCTTAACAATGTATATTGTATTTTCTTTGAATAAACATTATACATAAAATATTTGAGTATTTTTTTTTTGGCATGGAATGCATTGTCGTATTTTAATTAATCTATATAGGAAAAACTGTTTTGCTTAACGAGTGTTTCACATTACGAGTAAGATTCTGGAATGAATTATGCTCATTAAGCGAGGTTCCTCTATACTTTATATATACAGTAGAGTGTCGTTTATCCGAATCAATTGGGGACTGGGGTGGTTCGGATAACGAACCATGTACGAAAAAATATATTAATTTATCCCATGTTCAAATTTCTCTCGATTGCGTGTCGCTTCGCATTGAATTTTCGTCGATGTTAAGCTAACTAAGACTATTGTATCGTTAAAAATTATTTTTTTATTTTGTACAAACAAAATAAATTTATTGAAAAATATAAAAGCAATAAAAAATTATACTTCAGATGTTAATTTAGTATCAAAAACGTAAAATATTTGAGTAGCCCGAGAAATAGCCGAAGATTGCAGCGCCACAGCACTAGCGAAAATTTAAATNTCGTCAAACTTTTAGGCTTACGGGAAAGCGGCGCCAAACGTCACACGTACACGTTTACACGTTTAAAACGTGCGCCTCAACCTCTCTATTAAGTCTAGTTAGTATTGTAATTTTATTAAAAATGAACTTACTGTATATTCTTATTGAACTTTTAATCAAGTGTACTTTATACAGTCGACCCCCCTATAACATGGTAGATATGTTCCTCTTTTTATGAATCCAGCTTCTAGGAGTCCAGCCAATCACAGCCCGGCACATGTGCAGTTTACAAACTACGGCTGCTTGAAAGGTTTCTTCCATAAAATTAAATCGATTCTAGACTAATTCAACTCTTCATTTCCAAAATAAGTATAATTTTTTGGGAATAATCCATATAAACTATGCTATAAACAAAAAATTGTAGGATTACTTACCGCGTGTGCACCATTCAACTACGCTGTTGCTTAAGCTTGTTTTCGTTGTGGAGATTGTCATCGAATGGCGCTCACGTGCTTCCCGATAAATTATTTTTTTTGCAAAAAATTCGTTAAACTTTGGAGACATCATTAATATAAATATAATTTTTATGGACATTAAATAATAAATGGTTTTTGGTAGGTCCGCTGCTCGTTTAAACTCAACGGTTTGTTCAATCCTGTTGCAACACAAGTCGGTGATGATGTTTTACTGAATTATAGAAGTTTTTTAGCATGTTTGTACGAATACTGTCGCAATTTTTTTGCCATGATATAAGAATCCAAACTATAGGAACCTGTGTTATGGGGGGGGTCAACTGTACTTTAACAAATAAAAATATGTAAACGTAATCAACTGCCATTGTATAAAAATATTAAAAGTGGGAAGCCAGTATTCAGATAGTTCAGACTTAAAGAAGCTAGTTAATAGACTTGAGAAGGGTACTATACATAGGAGGGAGTCAATTTTTTTGGCAATTTGTTAATTTTAATTTATGCAATTTTAATACAAGTGTTTAAAATATCAAAATATACAAAAATTTGATATGAGACTGTCCATTAATGATATCCACACTGTAAGGAAAGTAGAGGTTACAACAAAGTGTGACAAGGGGGGTGTTAAGCTTCAGCAGACTTCCATTTATATCATTAAATTTTATAGTTTACACATCATATTATATTTATTTCTAAATGTGTGTGTTTCATTTCTACTTATGGTATCTACTATCATTCATAAAGTGATAAAGGTTTTAAAGGGGGTTGAGTTTTGTTGGATGTCCAAAAAGGGGAGGTTATGGAAACTTGGACAAACTGAGACAAGAGGGAGCAGGGTAAAAATTTCAAGATGATGATAGACAATTTATGAACAACCCCTATAAGATTTTAAATTTTAAAAATGTTTGTCAAATTTAAAGCATTAGTTCTAATTTTTTAAAAAGAACAAATTCATATTGAATTTAAGGTTCATTTAATTTTTGTTCTGTATGCTGTTCTTAGACTACCTAATATAGTTTAAACTGAAGATAGCTCAAATGGAGCTGAAAACATTATGAAAATAAAGAAAATTAAATATTTGATAGCCTTATAAGCAGAATTCATAGATACATTTAAAGTATGTTGTCAACTTTACTAATTATAACAATTAAAAAAAATTACAATATTACTATGTATTTTTATAACATAATAATCACATTAATTGAAATTAAAGAAGCCTTGTAAGAGCAGTTAATTAACGTTATCAAATTTTCAAAACTAGAATTGTCTTAATTTCACGTGACTCACTTTTTTCATTATTCTGTACCTTTTTTTTATACTTTCTATTCAGTATTTTAAATCTAACATATTAATTAAAGTATAATAAACAACAATATACAAAAAAAATTATTAAAATCATATAAGTTACTTTTAGTAATACATACATATATCAACATACAGATGTTGACCTAAATGTAGCTTCTACCCAAATGCATTTTATATATATTCCTTTTGATCGTATAACAACCAAGTATCATTTTAATTATTTGTCATTTACAAATGATAAGTGTATCTATTGTTTTATCACCATTTTCTAAGAAACACATCATATTTATGAACGATTTCCTTCCAACTTAAACAAGAAACAAACAGGAAAGAAAATATGAAATTAGAAAATCTACAAACAAATGCACTTTTTAAAAAATATGATTAATTGTTAAGTCACAGAATTCATGTCACTTAGAATATTTCCATTTTTTCAAATTTGACGTAAATATAACGTTAATTCTCGATCTATTTTAAGTAATTAGTATATTAAAATTCAAGTTTTGTATAAATACTTACGCCATGTTTGCTAGAAAAAAAAATTCCAATTAAATATAAAGGCAAAATAATATTTAAAATGGCGTCTACTGCTTCTCCTTCTCCCTTTTTTTGATTAAACAGCGCCCTCTTTAAATGAATCATCGGAAAACTTTTTATTTTATATCATTTCATTGTGACGTCTATAAACTTGCAAAATATTCCTTACGTCATGATGAGCTGTAATGAAATCGTTAATGTTCGTGAAATTGCTATTTATGTTTTAAATAAAAAGTAAATATGTTGTAATTAGGGAAAATTAATACTTTATTTTGAAATTAGGTTAGAATGCAAACATTAGAAATTTTATTTCAACCGCTGAATTTAAAATTCAATTTTTTTTTTTTTTTTATAGTATACTTCCTTGAAAAATTATTCTAAAATTGGCATTTGTTTGTCTTATACAATAGTTTTGAATATCTATTCAAAATTTTAATCAGAATAGTTTCCATTGTAAATTGTAAATTAAATCTATAATGGATTCTATATCACATTTATGGGAACNTAAAAATCTTAGTCAAATAAAACAATTACAGAAATATTAAAATAAATCACTTCGTTAATCACAAAATTGGACGAATATTAAAAGCGAAAACTAAACACGTGCACACCCTGCTCTATGTAAACGAGACCTGACCTCTATGTAAACAGAGAGGTCAGGTCTCGTGCTGACGTCACTAACTTGGGATTCCTGGCTAACATTGTAGAATAGGGATCTGGCTATCCTTGTAGTATATAGTCCTTGACCCGGACATGTTAAAATTAGAATGTTATACATACTAGAAATTAAAAAATTAAGTTTTTTTATTGTGAGTAGAAAATAAATATATTTTTTTTTAGAAGGTAAACATGTACATACTATATTATTAAAGTAATACAATAATCACATGTGGCATATCCAAAAACTAATTAATAACAGTCCGATGTCGATATTAATTTGCAAAAATAATATATAAAAGTAAGAATAATAAATAATAACACATACCAACATTAATAATATTAAGTTACAAAAGATACATTGTATCTGATACAATATATAATATAAATACGAGGCATGCGCAATGTCATTTTACAGCCAAGAACTGAACAATGTGCATAGCGGTTTAAACCAGTTAGAGACTAGCGTTGGAACAAATCTAATATTTGCCAGAGATATTTAAGTTAGAATTTTAAAAGTACATTTTCTATCACTCTTAGCCTAGGAATAAGATGGGGATAAGATTTGGTGGGAGTGTGAAGTTAGTCTTTAACCGTTAAAATAAAACATTCGCAAATTTTATATAAATTTATTTTGATTCATCATAATTTCACAATTTCTACGAAAACCGGACAAATTAATAATTAATCCGGATCATGAATTTAAAAACCGGCTTGTCCGGGTGAAAACCTGTCTGGGAACAACACTACGGATGGTCGAGTGGTCAAGATGGCAGCCTACCGCTTTGGAAGACCCGGTTCGAATCCGAACGAGTCGAAAAATTTCCAGGAATTTTTCGGGGTGGTCCGTTCGAATATGTCGAGCCCCGTCCCTCACCACAGGCCGCCCCATTGTGGACCTGGCCGAATCCATAATGGGCTTGAAGAAGAAGCACTCTTAGTGCCCACAAGGCTGAAAGAGTAAAAAAAAAAAAAAAATATGGAGGATCCGGGATCAGATCAGATGAGTAACTCCCCAGAATTTTTCATAGGTCATCTGTCTCCGATTTGTCAGGCCCAGTTTCTCACCACCCAACCGTCTCTTTGTGGGTCTGGCCGAATCCGCAATGAGTACAAAACGATACGCGATAGGAGTTACACAGAGTTAAAAATGAAACAAGAAGAAAAAAATAAAGGTTTCAGATGAACAGATGAGAAAAGTTAATGCACAAGAATACATTGTCGATCTTGTTTGGAAATTTCTTTAATAACTTTTAATATCGGCTTAACAATAATTTCAGTTTTTATGTATCAAATACTTCAATTAAGTAGCAAGATATTATTGTTTGTTTAATGCTTTTCTTTTCGTGTTTGAAGATTTACTATTATTTATTCAAAAAATTCGTATTGCATCGTACTGAAGTAAACAACTGTATTTTCTTTAGTTTGACGATTAAATCATATTCTTAAACGTTTTGGATATGCTTGGGTTTTTTTATTTTTATTGTTTATTCGGTTTATCTTCTTATCCACAAAAATGAATTTTAATAAAAAAATTAAGGCATGCACCAATAAACGAAAACAAAAATATAATCAAATCCACGTTACAAACAATAGTAGCAAGTTGTCCGAAAACGCTCATTGATTTTGATGTCACGAGACGAAACTTTTGCGGTTACTATAACTGAAATTTTGCACTTTCTGTCGGCTTGTGACTTAAAATCTCATTTGAAATTTTAAAAAAATGTAATTGACTATTCAAAAATGTTATCAGTGTCACGTTCTTGCTTCTCACTCAATTCGATTTTCTTTCTTTCTTTCTGAAATTTATAATACAGTAGCGCCTCGTTATATCGCGGATTCATATATATATATATATATTTTCAAATTTTAAAAGTACTTGAGTCAATAAATTTTAGTGTTAATTGCCATTGAATTTCTTTTTGCAACGAAATACGGTATTTTGCATTGTCTTTGAAACTACCACTGCGTGTAAAACAATAAATTCGTCACGATATAAATAAGCAAAACAGGTGGAAAGATCAATTAACATTTGTTTCCTTTTGATATTAAAAGTTGTTTATTTATTAGTTTTAAGTACTGTCTTCTTCTTTTGACAGCCGGATGGCCGAGCGGTTAAGGTGGCAGCCTACCGCTTTGAGGGGCCCGGGGTCGAAAAGTTCCTAGGAATTTTTCGGGGTGATCTGTCCGGATATGTCAGGCCCCGTCCCTCATCACCCAGCTACTCCATTGTGGACCTGGCCAAACCCATAATGGTCTTGCTAATGGAGGCCCTCTTAGTTCCCACAGGGCAGAAAGAGTTTAAAAAATGAACTGTCTCCTCATTTGCAAGTTTCTGCGAATTGGAAATTTCACACCTTTATGTGAATTGACGGTATTGTGTCAATTCATATAAATGTGTGAAATTTCGAATTCACTGTGTAATGTGTAAAGAAAAAAAAATCTATTTCAGAACGAAAAGTTCTAAAATTTTTATACAGTAGTAACTCTATTCCGCTTTTTAGAGAATTTTATAAGTTTTGATGTTCTATTACATGTTCAATTTTTATTTTTTAAATTTTAAATTACTGTATTTATAATTTTTATTAAAAAATATAAATTATACTAATTTTTAATAAGCGATTTATTGTGAAATATAATCTAACTATATAAAGCTGAAAAACCGGATTCTTCCTTTCTTTCTTTCTTTCTGTCACCCTATGCCAAAAACGGCCACTAGGGACGCCCCTAGTTATTATTTAAATTAACGATAAATTTAATATATTATTATTTTATGCGATTTTTTGCATTTTTGGCTACGTTTTAGTGGGGTACGCCATGAGAAATTCAGTATATTATTTTTTTTATTTGTAATAGGAATTTATTATTTATACCACAGAATGACACCGCCGCTGCTCGAACGCCCACTAGAGGGCGTCCCGGGCTACTAGAATAGAAGGATTAGAAGTACGAATTAATCTAATAATCTTAATCTTTGTTGTTGTTTTTTGCCCGGGCAACATCGGGCTCATCTGCTGGTACTGCATAATAAAATCGCAACTGATATTTTGTTTTTATACCGATATTGTCTTTAAATGTCATTGTTAAAGAAACAATAATACCAAATGAGTGATAATACGATATAACCACGAATAAAATTCAGTATTGCAAAACTAAGCTTATTTTATATCAGAAACACTTGCTGATGAAAGAATGGACGATAAATATTCCATAGAATGAATAATAGGTTTAGTATAAGCCCAGAATTTTCAGTACTCGGTTATATCGCGTTTTTTCTTTGTCTCCCGACAAGCGCATTATAGAGATGGGCTACTGTATTTATTAAAATTTATGGAAAATAAACTTTTGAGAAAATATATAAACAAGTAGTGTGATAAGTTTACGAACATAAATATTAACGACTGAAAAAATAAATAAGACTTTAAGATAATTGGCAGCTGAATTATCAAGACGATGAAGTCGTTAGTCTACCGCTACTAGAATACTTGGGATAGCGGCCGGATGGCCGAGCGGTTAAGGCAGCAGCCCACTGCTCTGAGGGACCCGGGCTCGAATCCGAACGGGTCGAAAAATCCCCAGGAATTTTTCGGGGGTGGTCCGTTCGGGTATGTCGGGCCCTGTCCCTCACCCGACAGCCTCATTGTGGACCTGGCCGAATCCATAATGGGCTTGCAAAAAGAGGCCCCCTTAGTGCCCACAGGGCGGAAATAGGAAAAAAAAAATATTTGGGATCGAGTCCAGGCGAACAACTCCAGAAATTTTCCACGATCTGTCCCAAATACGTCGGGTCCATCCCTCACCAGCGAGCCGCTCCATCGAAGGTCTGGCTGAACTCACAATGGTTGTTTTTTTTTATAACTCTTCCAGCCCTGTGGACACTAAGAGAGCGTTTTTAGCAATCTCATTTTGGGTTTGGCCAGTGCCTCAATGGAGCGATTAGTTGGTGAGAAACATATTTCACTATCCCTGAAAAATTCGCTTGGTTTTTCGATTCGTTCGGATTCGATCCCGTGTCCCCAGAGTGTTGGGTTGTCGCAATTGCCGCTCGACCATCTGGCCATCATAAAGTCCACAATGAGCTTGATTAAAAAGCCCTGTTTGTGCCCATAGGAAAGAAAGAGTAAAAACAAAAGCCGAAAAAGTGAAATGTCAAGAGAAGTTTTTATTTTCCTATCATAAATTTTAAAATGATAACAAAAACCAGTTTAATAACACTAATTGAAATTTATCTCCTTTATTTATTTTAGATAGAATGTATTATAAAGAAGCAATCTGCCATAAAGACTACACGGGGAATTAATTTAACGCATTATTATAAATGTTAGAAAAAATTATTAAATTACTTTACAGTTTAAATGAATTATAAATTAATATTTTTTAAAATTCAGTTTTTAATATTTGTATTGTTATAAATTATAAATTATCGATGACATTTTAAATTTTCCAATATAATAACCCTCTACAAAAATTTTATAAGAGCAAATAAAGTTTTACATATTTTTTGATGCTAAACATTAACAGCACAAAAATATAAAAATACAGACGAATTATTTAAGCTGAATTTTCAACTACATACATCGAAATGGCGGACTCTTAATCAAATTAAAATTAACAAATAATGTTATTCGTTTATCGACTAATGCGGTCCGTAATTCGAACTGACCTACGAGTATCCAACGTGCAATTTGTGAAACGCAATGCCATAGGTTATTTTAACGCGCCTTAAAGTAAAATAACCAATAGAGTCGCGCTTTACTACAAAGACCTTAGAGTAGAGTTCACTCCGCGGGAGTACTTCACTATGGTCACGATGTCTTGAAATGATCATTTGGTTAGTGTGATGGTTGACAACAACGATGTTACTTTATGTTTACCGCCGATTAATCGTTATCGGTGGCCTATTGTTTTTATCTCTATGGTATTTATCGACTTTCATGTACAGTCTGATTGCGATTGGTGTGTATATTTCGGGTATAACGATATATGTTCGACGAAGGAGTCGAAAGGAGTCCACACGCCAATTAGGCTTAGCTCGATATCAGAAAAGGTCGAAACAGAAGTTTGTTCAGAATCAAAAAGTCGATCTAAATCACTCGAATTCCAATGATTATTATAATCATAAGGAAATAGACGATAAAGTAAAGCACAGAAATGTACAGCATTCGTTAAGTAATTCAGAAGAAGTAGGTTCAACGAAAACAAAATATTCATTTAATAATTTTAGGTAAGGATTAAAACTTCATTATAATTAACTTTATGTTTCTTAATTATAATTCAGTTGTATATTTTAATTGTGTTATTCATTAAGGTAACTTGAATGGAGAGTCTATGTAACTTGCTTTCCAATTGAACTTATCAAATTTTACTACTTTATTATATAAACATTATATTTTTGAAATTGTTTTTAAGTTATTTTAACTTTCCTCTAATCATGATTTGTGTTTTTAATTGTTTTTTTTATTATTATACTTTTAAGTTAAAATGTGTAAAATTAGCTTGTTAAATTGATACATTTATTATTAATGTGATATAATTACATTTTGAACATGTAAACTTTTTAATTACAGAATAAATGTTAAATATCTGTTAAAAAATACTAAGTTTTTCTGTACAGTTTAATGATTATTATATAAAACAGTATAATAAAAAATTACAAGATTTAACTATTAATATAAGAATTATATAGCATAATATTTATATTTTATAGTGAGAAATGATACTTTGTTGTATAAATTTTTAATTAAATCTAATTTATTGACATTCAAAATTGTGAAAATACAACTTTTTTTTACTTGTTTGTAACACTTTACACCATGTGATAGTTCATTTTCATGATTAATTCTGTAATAACATTGTATTAAAACAACAATTCTAATTATCAAAAAAGAAATAATAAAAATGGCATTCAAATTACAGTAGGACTTTGATTTAATGGACTAATAATACTAATTGGAAGAAAGGGTATCTACTATTGCTGAAAGTCCAATTAAAAAACTTCTAAATTTTTCTTCTAAGATTTTAAGATAGAAATGCTTTCTCTGTTAAAATGAAAATCTGTTAAATTTGGGTTCATTAAAACAAGGGCCTATTGTATTTGTAAATTGTTGAAATTCATTTTATATAATGTTTTGCCATGTTATATTGAATTATTACCAAATGAGACATGCCAGATTATTTGGTAATACTAGGTTGATATATACTGTGCATCATTTTATATCAAATATTGAAAATCTACAAGAAAAAATCACAAATGTTTGAATTGTATTAAATAGTATGATCAAAAGTTAAATGAAAAACTTCCAAAATAGATTTGTATTGATTAGAGAATTACCTTATAATGGAAAAATAATTTTAGTTTAGATTCTAAAAACTTCAAGAAAAACCTGACATTTTTTTCAAAGTTTTGTTTTGAATTGATTATGAAATGTTAACACCTCAAACATTGCATATATAACTAGCAGATGAGCCCAGTGTTGCTTGGACAAAAATAATAGCAAAGATTAAGATTATTAGATTATTTTGTACTTCTTACCTTTCTACTATATTATATTATAGATTTATATTTACAAAGGTTATCTTAGGTAAAGGTTTATCACACCAAGTGCCCAATCTAACACATTTAAAAAAATTTTTTAAATGGTTACAGTAGAGGAATAAAGAATTTTTAAAATGTGTTAGATTGGTCATTTAGTGTGATAAACCCTTATGTAAGATGACTTTTATAGTTATATAGCCAATCTTACCTGTTTTCACTGGGTACAAGAATTAGGTCCCCCCCTCTTCTGAGGCTAATAAGACAATTTTTAGATGGGTCTAAAAGTATGTTTTATTTTCTGCAAAAAACTGCATCTAAAATAGTAGAAGCCGAGTTCTTCAGGGTAATCCTTAACCCTCTCCCTCTCCCTGCAGAGAGAGGGATTTCCAAAAAATCCCTTCTCATGGCATACCCTAAGGCCAGGAACAGACATGTAAAATTCGGCTTAAAATCTAGCATAAAACAGAAAACGTAAAAATTTTTCTGAAATTTTGGCTGAAACAGAACTGAAAATAGAGTAGAGTATGTCTACTTTTTACGCCAAAAATTCCTCCAATAAAGAGAAGTCTTTTCTGTGACTTCAAAGTAGACATGTGGTTTTTATTCTAACAATGGCAGCAATGAGGATTAACCCTACAATTGTGACGGTCTTGAAAAAACTAAAAATAAATGAAATAGAGGAGTTTATTGAATCCGTTCGACCACATCAGTGTCATGTATAAAGACACTGTATTTAAACAATGTTCATGGATGGCTATAGGTGCAAAATTTCAAATAATAGATAGGTCTAGTAGAATTGATATATAGGCCTAGTATTTAGATCACATGTTCTTTGTTTGAATTCGGAATACAAGTCTACTTAAATGTTCTATATTATAGCAGAGGAAGTGGAGATAAAATGGAAAGTACAAAGGGATAGATAGCCTATATGAGAGGAAAAAATTAATAAAATTAGCACTGTTGGTGGCTGTGGTGTTTCCTATTTGGCCAGAATTTTTACATGTGTGTTCTGGCATAAAGGTGTAAAACAGAAACTGAACTGAAAGCTGATTTTTGATTCTGTTTTCTGCCACACAATTTTACGCATGTGTGTTCCTGGCCTAACTGTATTATTATTATTATTATCAACCCATCTTGATTATATTATAAGACTAGCAGGTAGGCCCGGTGTTGCTCAGGCAAAAGTAACGATAGGGAGGATTAATATTATTACATTATAGTCAACCTTACCTGTTTTCACAAAATGCAAGAATTGGATCCCCCTGTTTCTGGACTGATTAGCGAATTTTTAGATGGGTTTAAAAATATGTTCAATTTCCCGCAAAAACGAAAAAAGTACATCTGTGTCTTGCACGTTGCTTTCTCTTAACAATTCCATTGTTACTTAATCTTGTCCCTCTCCCCCATGGGGAGGAATTTCAAAAAATCTCTTCTCAATGTGCATTTTCATGACTTACCCTAACTGTGTACCAAATTTCAACTCCTAACCGTTTGTGCTCTGCACTTATTATTATCATTATCAACTCGTCTCGATTATATATATATATAGATTAAATTCGGTTTCTTAGTTAAAATTGTCTCTTTGTTATTCTCTATTACCAATAAAATGAAGTTTTCATTTTAAAAATTATGTAAAAGCTAAGTAAAAAACATTTAAATTAAAATGTATAATTTTAAATAATTTATCTTATCTCTAACTGAAGTACTAAAATAAACTTAATAGTATAAACTGTTAAATTAAGATAATCAAAAACCTTTGCAATAAACAAAATAATTAAAAGTTTAAATGCTATTAATCATATTATTAATGTAAAAAAGCTTCTTATGTTGAAAAATTTCTTTATATGTTTATATTTTATCTGTAAAAAGTTTGAATAATTTATTTAATTACAATCAAAGGAAAAATAGAATTTTATTTGTTGAATTTTTATATGTTGGCTTAATGTGTTTAAACTAAAATTATATAGAAACTAATAAATTTAAGCACTGTTTTCAGATAATTTCAGATATATATTTATATACATATTTATAAACAGATACTAAATATAATTTCAGATATATATTTATTATAAATTTTGCATTAATAATTTACAACATAATTATTCTAATATTTCAAAAAGATTAAATTTTATATTGAATTAGTTATTGTAAATTGCCCAAAAAATCTTTACTATGGAAATGTTACTTATATGATCAATTAACATTTAAAATTGTTTTATGCTTGTGAATAATAATAATACTTTTATTCAAAATGTATTCAGTAAAAATTTGCATTTAAAAAGAAATAAACAATGTGTTACTTCATATAATATGCATTAACACAAAGAAATAAAATGTACATAAATTGCTAACAAATTTTAAAAACATTTGTTAAATAGTTTAATCTCATGAAGGTATTTTTGAAATGAGCAGAATTTTTTTAATTGCAGGTTGAGCTATTAAGCAATGACTGTAATTGAAATTCTTTTATTATATAAATTTATTTATTAAATTAATTATTAGTAATAAGACAAATATCTGAAATACTGGTGGTAAAATAATGTGTAAACAAAATATATTTAAATTTAAACATGTATTTGGAATAAATATATATATGAGTAAAAATATTGAATATTTGTCAGGCATAACCTCTGAACAAATTGCATTGTTTCAGGTTCATTTGTCATATATTTTAAATAATTGTAATATTAATTTAGTGTGTTAAAAAATTTTAAAAAATGTTTTAATCCTTATTTTTTACTATTGTTACTAATTTTTTATATTTTTTTTTTGTGTAAGAGTTATGNTGCAATAAACAAAATAATTAAAAGTTTAAATGCTATTAATCATATTATTAATGTAAAAAAGCTTCTTATGTTGAAAAATTTCTTTATATGTTTACATTTTATCTGTAAAAAGTTTGAATAATTTATTTAATTACAATCAAAGGAAAAATAGAATTTTATTTGTTGAATTTTTATATGTTGGCTTAATGTGTTTAAACTAAAATTATATAGAAACTAATAAATTTAAGCACTGTTTTCAGATAATTTCAGATATATATTTATATACATATTTATAAACAGATACTAAATATAATTTCAGATATATATTTATTATAAATTTTGCATTAATAATTTACAACATAATTATTCTAATATTTCAAAAAGATTAAATTTTATATTGAATTAGTTATTGTAAATTGCCCAAAAAATCTTTACTATGGAAATGTTACTTATATGATAAATTAACATTTAAAATTGTTTTATGCTTGTGAATAATAATAATACTTTTATTCAAAATGTATTCAGTAAAAATTTGCATTTAAAAAGAAATAAACAATGTGTTACTTCATATAATATGCATTAACACAAAGAAATAAAATGTACATAAATTGCTAACAAATTTTAAAAACATTTGTTAAATAGTTTAATCTCATGAAGGTATTTTTGAAATGAGCAGAATTTTTTTAATTGCAGGTTGAGCTATTAAGCAATGACTGTAATTGAAATTCTTTTATTATATAAATTTATTTATTAAATTAATTATTAGTAATAAGACAAATATCTGAAATACTGGTGGTAAAATAATGTGTAAACAAAATATATTTAAATTTAAACATGTATTTGGAATAAATATATATATGAGTAAAAATATTGAATATTTGTCAGGCATAACCTCTGAACAAATTGCATTGTTTCAGGTTCATT